TGAAGATCAATAAAAAAGGAGAGACAGGACCCTCAAATTGAAGGTACTTGCAAACGCAAAACTAATATCGGACAAGTGTCCAGCACGATAAAGTAATCAAAATGTCATAGTAGATATGAAGTAGCTGCGTTTGGGCCAGTGTGGATGACTTCAATTTGTATCTCTTGAGTTTTCAAGACCACTGACTTCACGCCCGCTGTGAACCTTATTTGCAGGGGACAGCGTGATTGGCGCCTTCCAGTACTGCTTAGACCTCAAGTGAAACACATCAAATATACTTACTCTGAGGTTCTTCACAGCTTATTCCAGCTAACAGATTGTCGAATCGGATGATCGTTAGGTGTGTCATACAGTTAGTTCGTTGATATCAATGTCACCTGGTATTACTGCTTAATAGTCCAGCCTGTAAAATCTTACATGCTTAACCCTTAGAACAACAAGATGAGAGGAAGCGTAGAAGAAATAATGAAATGTGACATAATGACTGGGATGAAGATAATCTATGGATGCCACGTAGAATCTCCAACAACCAATTTCGGTTATTACGCGGAGCCTAAACAAGAAGTTTTTCATGTTCTCTAGACGTCTCACACCAACACTCGGAGACTCCATTAACTGACGCTACACTTTAGTCTGGCTGCTTTTAACCTTTTCAAATGTGTTATTCCTAAACCACCTCAGGGGATGCAAAATTCCTAATGTCGCCAACTGATTTTGTTCTGTGAGTAGTGATAGAATTGTTGACTGGATGGTGTCGATATATGCAACTAGTTACTTGTAACCATGGTCCATTTTCTACTTGGATCCATCAAACTGTATAGCCATACAGCAAGGGAGTAGATTCAAACCTGATGAAAACTACCTGTATGTATCCATATCAAGATTACAGTTAGTCACTAATCCGCCAAGAGTTGATGTCACTTTTCGTGTCAGTATAACTGAGAATAAGATTCTACTATCAGCTTTCATTTGGTTAAAGATGTCACTAAGATATCTTAGTTATCTACACTACTCAAACTAGCAATGAATAATTCAGTTAAGTTGCGGCTCATTGGTCTAAACACTTGACCTTCAACCAATGAGTCACGGGTTCAAACCCTCTCCATCTATCCAGGTCTAGACAACTGTGTAGTAAGTGTTATTTACCCTTAACAGAATCAGCATAGCTCAGTGCTTACTGCATGAATGTATATTTAGTTGCTTATAGCAATTCGATTTTCTATATTTCGAAATAAATAAATGTGATTTTTTTTATAATTCTAACCAGCTTAGTAGATTTATGCCCAATCATATTCATTATGCTAACGTGCATACGTGCGTTTAAACTATCTGCTGGATATATGCTAGTTGTATGCACACCTTATATCTCATTCATAATGCAATAATTTAGATCGCTATTTTTTCATTTTGAAAAGAAAATCCCCAAAAACTTTCGGTGAAACTTGAAAAATGCTAACTTGATTGTATAGTATTTAAATTTTGAGGGAGTTGTGGAGATTTGGAATCATTTCAAGTTGTTATTCATCGTAGACTGACATCAGTTGGAGGAACAAAGGAAACCTGGGAGCACTGGACAGCTGTTTCGTCCTAGTATAGGACTACTCAGCAGTGCGCACCCACGACCCCACCAGCAGGGATCGAACCCGCGACCTACAGGTTCCGCAGCCAGCGCGTTACCATTGAGCCACTGGGTCAGAATCCGATGCTCATGCTCACGATGGCCATGAGGACAAATACTCAGCGATGACATTGGGTGGCGGTTGCGCTATATATCGTGAAGTAAGAGAAGTTGGAAATATGGAGCATTGGATTGTGACCCAGTGGCTCAATAGTAAGGCGCTGGCCGCGGACCCTGTAGGTCGCGGGTTCGATCCCTGCTGGTGGGGTCGTGGGTGCGCACTGCTGAGTAGTCCTATACTAGGACGAAACAGCTGTCCAGTGCTCCCAGGTTTCCTTTGTTCCTCCAACTGATGTCAGTCTACGATGAATAACAACTTGTATAGTATTTACCAAAGAGAAGTACACAATAATAACACGTTGTCTTGATTTTTTTAAGAAAATCCATCGTCACATTCCTTTCTCATCTTCTAGAACAAATAGGGCAGATAATTCGGAGACTGTGATAAGCACAGAGCAAACTATAGTAGTGATGTAACTGTTGAAGATGAGGACAGTTGGAAAGATTTCAGATATTTGAATACTGTTGCCTTAATAATAGATAGTGATTAGTAGTGGAATCCAGAATAGGCGTTTCGTCCACTCTAGGACTCGTCATCTGGATGTGTCTGCCTTCTAGCGAGTGTCTTTATCTCCACTACGACTCGAACCCATAATCGATCGATTCAAACGCTACAACTTTATTCATTAAACCTTTTTGAGTTGGAAACTTGCAAGCCATAACATCAAGAAAACTGTTGCCTTGGTTACCACGTTAAAGTGAGATGAAATCATTATATGAGACGTGATATGCAGACTACTGAGTAACGCAAGTTGTGTAAACTTAGATTCAGTTGAAGAGTCTGCGGGGATTTTGTTGACTTCAAGTTTGTACTCATCATAAACTGATATCAGTTGGAAACCTGTTGAAAGCCTGGTAGAGCTGGAAATTGTTATAGCCTATACTAGGACTCGTTAACAGTATGCATTTAGGACCTTCAGGTTTCACATTAAGCATGTCACCATTCACCCACTGGATCATGATTCGGTGGTCTGGAGTTTCCTACTTCTGTCAATTCGTGACTTAGCGCAACCATGATCTAACGGCATTGTTGAGTTTCTATCCTGTCATCCGACTTGACCTACCTCACCGGTGGCGGCTTCTCATGAGAGATTTCAGGAAATCTAATCTCAAAGTATAAAACTTCAGCTGTCCAGTGCTACCAGATATTCGACGGTTCTCCAGTTGCTGTCACTCCATGATGAATGTCTCAGTAGTCTGAATGTCATACTCAGATGGTTGGCATATATGACGGACACACTGACACATCAGATCGACTCATAACACAAATCTATACAGTCTCTGACTATTGGTTTGAGTCGTATACCGTCAGTTTCCAGGTTACAGACGAAATGAAAATACTACAGAAGTTTCTTCTGTTGTCATATCTGTCCATCTATCCCTTTTATTAGTGCTGACTAGGACAGTTAGAGATCTTTGAGAGAGCTGAGGACGCATTTCTTAGGAGTAACAACGCTTAAAATGCACCGCTTTATCCATCCTGATGACTGTCTTCATCCTCTGTGGTAGTTTATAAACTGTGGAGTTACTTGGCGTCACCTAGCATCTCAACATTATGAGATGCCTCAATAGTAAGACTTTTGCTCCACCAGGTAAGTTAACGCGATACACAAGTATGAATTATCATCCACTAATCAATTTGCTCTTCCATCACTTGTTAGATTGACTTACTGTCTGCTTCATTTTTATTGGTTTATTAGGTTTATCATACAGTGTAACAGTAGTGTTTACTGGATTAAGCTTCAGACAAGATTTATGCCATCATAGTCCTATCAAGATAACCAACTCCACAACTTTAAGACATCCTAATCTCTTTTCCTCCCTTGGGATATGGGTAGTACGATTTTCCATATTTCTAGGACAGGTACTGAGTCATTCCTGTTGCTGCGTGTTTTAGGTGTTGATTCAATGAACAAAGATTCACTTATCACTCTCTCCCTGTACCCTACTGTCTTAGTTTTAAGGATTTTCATCATGTCTGGTCCTATTGTATGGTTGTGTGTAATTGCACACATAACTATATCTGAGCTTTTTTCGAAATTACTTACCTTACTAGGATCTACCAAATTTCGATTTAGCCTAGATCTTTGAGTTCGGATGGCCTAATTTACCTTGGTCCACTCCTCTGATCTATGTATTTGACCTCTCAGTTGTTTCAAAGGGTTAGTAAACTAAGTTATTTTGCTTAATTGGAACAATAGGATCTTTTAACCTACAAAGCTTATTTCTGAGTGAGTTTGTAGGCTTGAAGGACACTCCACTCCCAGCCTTATTTAGAATCCTCCGTAATGTCCCTGAGGTACCTTCCTAGTGTGGTAATACAGTAGAGGTTATGAATTCTCTCTTCACAGTATTGCCACCATTATTATTAACGTTATTATTACTACTATTAACACCTCTGTTAGCAATATTAGTCATAGTTGTTTTACGATTCCTAAGGAACTTATCAATTAACTTAGGAGAGTAATTATTGATGAGTAAGGTGTCCTTAGTATATCTGGTTTCTTGTCTTAGATCTTCTGTTTTACTAGTAAGTTTTCTGGCCCTGTTACTTAGACATTCTACTGAACCAACTTTAACTGACATAGGAGTGAGACGAATTGAAGTCTAGGTAACGATTTGAATGTGAGAGTTTTCTGTAGATATTAGTGTCTAAACTCCAATCTTGTTTTTGTTTTATTCTGCAATCCAACATCACTAATTTCCTTTTCACTACTTTCTAATTCATAGGTGAATTGGATTGTGTAGACTACTGAATTTACTTATATGTGAGAAGAAACTATGTTTGTGCTCCAATTTCAACACTGTAAACTTGTTGTCTACATGCCGAAACCACATTTTTGGAGGCCGACTAAATGTTCCTACAACCATGTGTTCCCAACTATTCAATAAATATGTCAACTATAGTTGGGGATATTGATGATCCTATGGCAATCCCTTCTGTTTGTTTGTATATATTATTCTGAAACCTAAAGATTGTGGAGGTTAAGTATAGCTGTACTCCCAGCATGATATCATCTATTGGTATCTTAGTTCGTGGTGTAAGCTCGTGGTCATTATTCAGCTCATTTCTAACTGGGTCAAACATGATAACCTGGTAACCACTACCCTAAATCCCACTGGGATTATTAGTTTTTGGCATAAAATCCAACCATTTTGACTTGCTATAAAGTGGCTTCGTTTGGCGTATCAAATCCACCATGTTTCTTGCTCTTGCATCGCTGGTTAAACTGACTTTCTCGTTGTTTCTCTTGATTTTCAGGAACTCGACTGTATATCCGTCTTCAGGTTGAACTGATTCGTCAGCAAATCACTTTATGATTCGTATGCGACTGTACTCTTATTGTAATAATGAAAACAGAAGAGATCAAGGATTCAATGGATAAGCCAGATGAACATTCATGTGAAAAACAGAAACAGGTTGACCTTATCATTAAAGATAGAAAGCATCGAAGGTATGATGACGACACCAGTGAAGAGACTGAGCCAAGCGAACCAAAGCGTCACTGTTTACCTGCTCATGGTGCAACCGACGAGGAGAATGCAAAGTCCAATCATGATTTCAAGCATTGGCTAGTGTTTACTGTAGTAACAGCTGGTCGACAAGGCTCCGAGTTGGGATCAGACCAAACACCACTGATTCAATTCAACGGAATACTCGGGGACTTCTATGCGAACCAGGTAAAGCAAAAGGATAAGTTGAAATCTACTTTTCTGCTTAGATAACGAAAGGACTTTAATCCTGCGTAATACGTATGTTACTTTGTTTACTGACCCACTCCGAATTTCAGTGTAGTTCCATTTCATTAAATCAGTACGGGTAGGAATGCTATGTTCTATTTAATAAACATCTGATCTCCATAAGGAGGGAGGGGGGCGAATCATCGGATCATAGGAAGTAAAAGCATAAGGAAGAATGCTCTTGCTGAGACAACGTGATAAATGTGATCCCTATCATCCACACTGTCATATTTCCAAGTTATCTGTAATCCGCAGGTCTTCTGATGAGCTGACCATCTTTTTAGACACCTTGTAGGCAGACCTGCGTGAGATATGTTTAATAGAGGTCTTCACAACTCTGCAAGTAGCATCCAGACTACTCTGCTAGAGCATATATTCCTGTAATATATCTGGTCCGAGAACCTTTCATAGGATGACTGGTTAGGAAATCGGCAACAGACAGACAAACACACAAACACCATTTTGCTCTCAGACAATGTCAGCTTGGAGAATGCCTCTGCGCGATTGTCAATACCTTGAACTGCAGATATTCTCTACCCAATTTCCACTGATTTCAGGAGATTCCGTGTCTAATTACACTAAACATTTTTTCTTTATTCGCATATTTTTCAGATTCTTGATCGGATCACGTTAAATATTCATCCTGAAAGCTACACTCGATCTCACCAGTCATCAGCTGACTTGACAAGTCAAATACCTCAGTCACAGCCAACTACTACTACTAATGTTATCTTCCATAACACCAGAACTGATGGTCATACCCAACCTGATTTGGATATGTACGACAATGCATCGGACCAATCACCAGCCGTCAATACGTCGACATTGAGTTCTACAACAGAGACAGGCAAATTTGGCTCAACAATCAATCATGTGAATATATCAACTGAGGCATTACAAGCTGCTGGATTTCAAGACACTATAGACACTGAAACAATTGGTTTGACTTTTAAAGAAGCAATCACAAAGGTAAAACAAAAATTTAATAGCACATGGTTTTCATTTTATTAGGGAGAGGCGATTCACTGTGTATTCGATTGATTATTATTATTAATTATTTGTCCCTTGGGTTCCCAGTGGAACATAGGGCTTTTGTAACATGTCTTCATTTCATTCTCCTATCTGCACTGGCTTCACGAATGCCCAGAAGCTTTCATTTATTCTTCACCCCATCTCCTCCATGTCACCCTCAGAGGCCTAACTCATCGTTTCCCATTTGCGTCCCACTCGAGAGCCTGGCCTGGCTCATGATGTCCCTAATTGGTCTTCTCAGTGTATGTCGAATCCAATCCCTTTCCACTTCATTCTGCATGTTTGTTGGGTTGGTTCGTTGCCAGCCAGCCAGCCAGCCAGCCAGCCAGCCAGCCAGCCAGCCAGCCAGCCAGCCAGCCAGCCAGCCAGCCAGCCAGCCAGCCAGCCAGCCAGCCAGCCAGCCAGCCAGCCAGCCAGCCAGCCAGCCAGCCAGCCAGCCAGCCAGCCAGCCAGCCAGCCAGCCAGCCAGCCAGCCAGCCAGCCAGCCAGCCAGCCAGCCAGCCAGCCAGCCAGCCAGCCAGCCAGCCAGCCAGCCAGCCAGCCAGCCAGCCAGCCAGCCAGCCAGCCAGCCAGCCAGCCAGCCAGCCAGCCAGCCAGCCAGCCAGCCAGCCAGCCAGCCAGCCAGCCAGCCAGCCAGCCAGCCAGCCAGAGTTCCTTCTTCCTTATTCTTATTATTCAATTCTGGACATCTCATCTTCACTGTCAGTATCGAGTGAGTGTAGGCAGCAGCTGCTGATGAATGTCTCTAGTTTGTTGGAAGTGCTTTGAGTAACGCGCCAAGTCTCTCAACCATCACATAGAAGCAGTGACTTACTTGACTGAATTAGTGTTGGAAATTCGTATGTTGTTCACGCTTTACGCTGAGTGTAGTGTATTGTAGTGTATGTAGTGTAGTGTAGTGTAGTATAGTAGATCTCCACACCGATTATTTCAGATTATTGAGAGTCTGTCTTGCTGTCTTTCCAATCCTGGCTCCTATATCCTCATATGCGCCTGTATCGCCTGTAGTTGAGATGATTCTGCCTAGGTAGGTAGGTGAAAGGGGTAACTTCCTTCAGATTTCTCCCGTTGGTGGTGATTGGTGCTTGTTGTTGTTGTTTGTTGGGCACATTCATCACCTCCGTCTTCTTCATGTTCACCTGAGGGAAGTCCCGTCTTTGTTGCCTCGCCTCGCCTCGCCTCTTCTGTCAACCTGTCATTTCTCACCTGTAGATCTTCCAGTTTGTGCAACATTAGACATAAATCATCACCATCGGCGAAATCCAAATCTTCTCCTCCGATCTTTTCATCGATCCAGCCAGCCTATGCCCATCTCCTCACAGCTCCTCACAGTTTGCTGAATGATCCAGTCCAGTCGACCACAATCAGGGAGATCATCGGTGATAGTAGGTGCCAACCCTGTCTTACTCCAGTCCCCTGTCTTCACTTCGATGGCATCACTGAGCTTTGCACTGTGAATCACCTGGCATCTAGCATCATACAGCATATAGCTGTTGAATGAGGTTGATGAAGGTTTATGGCACTAAAACCGTGGTGTTGAAACAACTGCCTGTCAAATTTCTCCTCGATTGATGCCGTCAAAGACCTTTTCAAAGTTGATGAAGTTGAGTTAAAGATCCAGTTGACTGTGATTCTATACTCTGTTAATTGATGATGTTGCGTAGCGTAGTGTTGCAATTTGATTCGTACGTGATTTGTTCTTCCATAAGCCAGCCAGCCTATTCCGATCACAATTTTGAATCCAGGAGCATGATTCCACGCCAGTTTTTGCAGAGGCTGAGTTCTCTCTTCTTTGGAAGTTTGACAAGGTAGCCATTCTTTCAATCAGTCGGCAGGTTCCTTTCCTTCCTTCCAAACCTTCTGTAGTAGTAGAGTAAGCATGTCCGCTTTTGTCTCTGCATCTATTTTCAGTGCTTCTATCGGAATTCCATCTGGTCCGGCTGCTTTTCTGACTTTCGGCAACTTTATGATGTATTCGTTAGTGTTGTATTATTTATTGACAAGTATTGCACGCACTCAATTGATTAATGAGTTTATCAACTTGTTTCTGTTGTTAGAGTACAGCTGTCCAGTGCTCCCAATTTTCTCAGTGGTTTGCCGCTTGATGTCACTCCTCGATCAGTACTAATTTGACATTATTTTATTACATTTGACCATTTGACATATAACGGATCCATTCTTCGTTTACCATGTCCTCAGGATTTTCCGCTTCTCCAGAATGAGTGTTGCGTCATTTCAGGAGCATGTATTGGATGTCATGTCGTTGAACTAAGATTCAATAATCAATCCCATGATGAGTTCCAACCTCCACAAAAAGCCAGATAGAATTAATCTGGCGCTCGTTATTGACTAGTTTCAAGAGTGGATTCCTGAAGTTACAATCAGAAGTGGTGACCAGTGGAGTCAACCAAGTCGAACATGTGCACAGTTACTCAACGACAACATTGGGTGATGGTTACGCTATGTCGTGAATTGATAGAAGTTGGAAATATGGATCACTGAATTCCAACCTGGTGGTAACTTGCTGGCCACGGAATCTGAAGGTCATGGGTGTGCACTGCTGAGGCTACCTATTGCTACCAGGTTTCCAATGTTCCTCCAACTGACTTCAGTCCATGAAAAACTCCAAGCTGAAATCAGTTAATTAATCTCTACAAACCTCCAGATAGAATCCCTCTTTTTGTTCATTTATTTACACTGAACTTCAGGGATGTTGCTTCGTCTCACCCTATCATGTGTCTATGTGTCAGCACACCCACTGGGCTGTATCATTCCAACTTTAGATAAGTTCATATACTCTGATATTGTTACAGACCCTGATCTGGTGCTTTGATCTGTCTACCTGATCCCATAATCATTGTATGGTATTTGGTAGGTTAAATTATTCTGTCTATTTGGGTCAGTGGTGTACTCAGACCGATAGAGTTTGTCTCCAAGTGAGTCCGGTGGTTCAAATCTTATCCTAATTCCAACCTTGTTAACAAGTCTGCGCGGTTTATGAACTTGTGTTACCACTACTATTAATATTACTGTTACTACTAAATTTTTTATGTGTCCCGAAAACTTTTGTAATAAACTCTAGAGGGTCATTGTTGCTCAGGAATGCTTCCTCTACATGTTTCAGTTCCTTATTTAAGTCTTTGGATTCACTAGTGAGTTTTCTGGCTTTATTATCTTAACGCTTGATTCAACCTGCCTTAGATGACATTGAAAGAGATGACCTGAAGTCTAGATGCCGATCCAAGTGTGTTGGTTGCCTGTAGACAGTAGTGTGTGGACTCTAATCTGCTGTTTATTCTACTTTGCAATTCAATAAAGGTAATTCTCCTTGTTCATTTTCTACTTCGTAAATGAAATGGACTGAACCTGCTACACGTAAAGAGACTACCAATGTCCGCTGTCAGTAAATGTTCCATTCATATTACTGTAACATATCTTCGCCGTTAGCTTAGACATCCTTAAAGCCAACCGTTTGCAAACATCGAATGAATCCCAAATACAGTCGACTAGACTACAGTCCATGATGCTACACTTTGTCAATCTCCATCGTTGATTGAACCGAACTGATAGACATATGGGCTCGTGTGCTCGGATCCCTCAATATTGGCGGTATTTTTAAACTTGATATTAATAATCCCAAAAGTGATCGATCAGTCTGGTCCAATCACCAATGAAGGTTTTCAAGCTATGACATCAAAGACTATACAATGCTTGTCGTACAGGAGTCGCTATCGTGACTCAATAGCCTAGTGAGTAACAACCTTGTGTTTGAGGCGATCGGTCCTGGGTCCGAGTCCTGATGGGAACAGAATAACCCACCAGATGGGAGGTACACCCAGCTGATAAATCTCGAACACGACGAAACGCACATCCTGGCTACCACTGCTAGCCGCTATCCGTCACTAATTAACTAACGGGAGATTGTAAATAAAAATAATGGTGGTTATAGTATAGTTGGTCGGTCTCTATTAGCATATGGGCCCCTGTGTGGAAGCTTCGATATTACCTGTGTTCCAATTATGGTAAAGATGGATGGTGGCTAGTAGTGGAATCCAGGATGTGCATTTCGTCCAACTTGGGACTCGTCATTTGGATGTACCTGCCTGTCAGTCAGTGATCATCATATACCAATACAGACCAATCAGTTTGGACCAATCAACCACCTTACAATGCAAGCAATTATACTAAAACTATGCCCGTCGCCCAAGAAACGACTATCGTGGCTTAGGGGTGTGGTAGATAACACTCTAGCGTCTGAAGAGATCACTCCTAAGTCCCAATCCCAGTGGGAACAACATCACTCACTGAGAGGCAGGTACATCCAGCTGACCAGTCATATATAGGATGAAATGTACATCCTAGATTCCACTGCTAGCCATTATCCATCTTTACAATTTCAGTTATAGTTTTAATAATCTCGCTAGTCGGTGACGTAACTGGCCAACGACAACGAAACGAGAGGCAGGGGGTTATGCAAGATGTTTTGATCGTTCATAGCTTACATTGTGGTAAAGCTAATAAACAAACAAACGATTAGGTAACATGAATGAGACTTTGACCATTCAGTCTATTGTTGATGAGGTTACATTCAAGTTTAAAATGTTTTACTAGAAGTTGCAATTATTGATAAGAATAAATAAAGTAACACCGGAAACTATTACAGATTAGAATAATAATAATAATAATAATAATAATAATAATAATAATAATAATATTGACAGAGGGAAGTAAAAGAAATGAAAGTAGACAGATGGAACCTGAAATGAGACAAAGGTTGAGGTGAAGACTGTATGTATATTTTAAGCATACAAGCGTCAGGCTTCCGTTTATGGATAGGTAAAACTTCTGCTGATTTTAGAAGTCGAATATGGAAGAGAAAAGTGAGATGTTTGAGTGAATTCGACAGACAACCTTAAAATTATTGTTTGCATTGGTTGAATACTGAAGGATAGTACTTGTAATGAATTTCGTTTCACTATGAATATGTTTTCGTACAGGTGGTGACAGAAATCTCCGGCTTCAGCCAATGTGTCTTCCTCCATAGAAGTAAGTGAATTAGTAGAGATACACATCGATATGGCATGTTGAGACATATTGCCTTTTACATATACAGAGAACAATTGACGGCTAGTAAAGGTCGAATGAAGTTTGGCTGTGAAAAACAATCTACTAAATGAACTTGAAAGATGATTTTTCAGGATTTCTGATGCTATACCACCTTTAAATTCCAGATTCATGGACAAAATCGTTTAACGAACTTAGCTGATGACTGATTTCCTATGCCTTTCTTGCTTATTCTTATCGTACAGTTGGCTAGGATATCTGTTTTCTGCAAACGTACCACTTAAAAATGTCAGATTGACTTGAACACAATCTATGCCACATATATTTCCTACTCAGTAGCAGAATCAGTGGATGAGGTTTCTTTTCCCCTGAAGATTGGCATCCAACTGTAGAAAATAGTAAGCTGTTTCGTTCACATAAGTTTTCTATAGATAAATCTTTTTTAGTGTTAAATTTCTACGTCTTATAGTTAACTCATGAAGGTAAGGAATAGCTAACTCTAATTTTGTATCCAAGGTGAACTCCAGTTATTATTATTATTAGTCCCTTGGGTTCCTAGTGGAACATAGGGCTTCAGTAGCACGCCTCCAGTGACCTCTCTTCTCTGAAATCTTTTGAACCTGGTCCCACGACAGCCCATAACCTCTCATTTCCTCCTCGCACGACCTCCTCCATGTCACCCTCAGCTGGGACGTCCAACTCGTCGCTTCTCATGGGGATTCCACTCGAGCAACTGGCCTGACGCGTGATGTCCTCAGTCGGCCTTCTCAGTGTATGCCCAATCCATCTCCACTTCCTTCTGCATATTTGTTGGGTGATAGGTTGTTGGTTGGTTCGTTCCCAGAGCTCCTTGTTGCTTATTCTTTCTGGCCATCTGATCTCCAGTATCTAGCCAGTGTAAGCAGTTGTTGATGAATGTCTGTAGTTTATTGGAAATCCCTTTCGTGACGCGCCAAGTCTCTGAGCCATACAAGAGCACTGACTTAACTGATGTTGGTGTTGAAAATCCGTATCTTGTTCCGCATGCTGAGTGCAGGAGATCTCCACACTGGTTTCAGGCTGATGAACGCCTGTCTTGCTTTTCCCATTCTGGCTCTGACATCCTCGTCTGTGCCACCACTGCCTGTAGTTGAAACAGTGCTTCCTAGATAAGTGAAGGAGGTTACTTCCTTCAAGTTTCTCCCGTTGATGGTGATTGGAGTTTGTTGTTGTTGTTGATGGTGGTGGTGCGGTAAGGTGAACTCCAAAGGTGAGTGAAAACTACATAACTCGTGTAGGATGTCATCCAGATCGATGTCTGTGTCACAGATAACAAATATATCATCCGTGTACCTTTTGTAAATATCAAAATGATCAGTAATTTGGCTAACATTAGAATTTTTCAATTTAGATGTTTACTACCACTGAAAACAAATATTGAAATGTGGCAGAACAATGAAAACCAGATATCAGACATTCTTTTAATTACTTTGATATAATTTAGAGTGATAATCTGTGCTTTTAACGTCAGGAAATTTTTGTATTTCAAGTATTTCGAAGCGATTCTTTAAAAATATCAAACAGGTGTTCAAAAATACACTACTTACTAATTCATATGAGTAGTCGAAAACCACTTATATGTTGCTACTTGTATTACGCCATGGTTGGTCGGAGCGAATTGATCAATCTCGATTAGAATATGGACTCCTGCATAAATAATTCTCTATTACCTGTCAATTCAGTCTTACAGGAATGGTGGACAATGGTTAACAATGGAATCCAGCTGACTAGTGAGTCCCAAATACGAGGGAACCCGCGTCATGGATTCCACTGCTGAGTAACCTCCACTTTTCATCATTTGTGCCAATACTCATACAAGCAAGCTAGTTGAATAGGGGTGATTCATAACACTGATAATATATGTGACAGGAAAGATATACCACTGAGACAGAATGCATGTTACGCTGGATTGTTGCAGCATACCTCATTATGATAAAATCCAGCTTTTTTAGTTCTTCTTTCTGTAACTTGCTGGTCGGATTTGGTCTAGTGAATCAAGTGTTTCGTCGCCTTAATTCAAACATGAGTGTTTGTGTGTAGTGGTGTGGGTATGGGATTCTGGTTGTATATTTAACCTGATATAAGTATTGCCACAATTCACAGCATGACTGTCATTCAATACCATCGGTGAGTATTTCTCCTTACTCCGTAACTGGATGCTTATCGAATGGGATTCCATCTCAGCAACTGTTAATTTAAACGCCTAAGCGTTGTATATTGGACCCATAAATTGAGATAGTCGATAATTTTAATCCGGCTAAGGACTGAAGTCTCACGACTCTGATTAATGAGACCTAGTGTATGAATACTTGTGGGCATATGGACATAATATTTATTATTTAGATCCCTCAAGAAGCCATAGATCGAAGAATCAATCAGATTATTCAGAAGACTCCTCAAGGTTACATGATTATACCCGTACACACAGACACACATCAACAGCTGCCGCCTACACTCACTCGATAATGAAGATCAGGTGGCCAGAAAGAATGAGCAACAAGGAACTCTGGCTGGCTGGCTGGCTGGCAATGAACCAACCAAGAAAGTGGAGATGGATTGGACATACACTGAGAAGACTATTTGGAGACATCATGCGACAGGCCGTCGGCTGGAAGCCAAGTGGGAAACGACGAGTTGGGAGTCTGAGTCAAGGATGACGTGCAAGAGATAGTGTGAGAAAAAAATCAAAGCTTCTGGGCATTCTTGGGTCCAGGTTGAAAATACTGCAGGGAGGAGAGTGAAATGCCGACATGCTACTGAAGCCCTGTGTTCGATTAGGAACCCAAGGGACAAATAATAATAATAATAAATGTGACCACCCAGTTCATTAAGTTCCACGGCAATCGTCTTCTAGAATGCTATCGAAGTGTCTGCTCTACTGCTGGATATATGAACAACTAGGTTTTTTGTACATAACTATCCTGACAATATTCATTCCTTTTCCTTGATAACTTTCATTTCTATGAGGAACTGAGGAACCACTGGAGGGGATTCTGAAGGTCACTGTTCAGAAGTCCAAAAAATAATGTATCACCGTATTAGAATGTACAATGAAATAAAAATCATATCACCACCTAGGTTTCGTAGCTGAGTTGCTACAGCACTGCAGCCACGAACTCATTGGTCTGTGGTTTGAATCCTTCCATGGCACAAATTTTCACTTTACCTTCAGTTATCACTCATTGACAGTAATGTCTCGATATCGAATCTGTTCATATACTGATAGCTTTTAGGGATTAGGTAGAAGGGAAGTTCATGCAAAGCATTTTCTCTTATTCAAAGCTCATTAACTAACTATGATCAAAAAGTGGGCAATCATTTTATAACTGAGAACGTTTTCCTCACGATCTGAAGTCAGTTAGAGAATCATTGAAAACCTTGGGGGGCTCTACAGCTGTTTTATCCTAGTTTTGGTACTTCTCAACAATACTCACGTATGACTAACAGGTCTAGTGATCAGTATGATAGCATTCACGAGTCACGAACCAGGACGAAACAGCTATCCGGTGCTCGCAGGATTTCAGTAGTTCTTCAACTTATCTGAATCAGTGATGACGCTGATCTTGGAAATAATCAATCACTACAAACTACCAATTGAACAGTGAAGATTTACTAGAAGCAATACAAAATAAGCTAGTTCTAACGATAAGAGGATATACACAAAGCGACATGGATTTCACCAGATGGACACACTGAAAATCAAATCGACTTTATCTCAATCTCAAGAAAATGGAGACGCAGTCTACTTAACACAAGGTCAAGAAGAGGAGCAGATGTAGGTTCACACCACTCACTATCCAGTGCAAGGAACTTCCAAATCAAGTTAAAAGCCTTCAAGGAGCTGGTGATAGACCTCAATTCAAGTACAACACTCGGAAACTGAAGGATGAAACTACAAAGGAGATCTTCAAGGCAGTCATCAAGACAAAATGGGAGACATCGAGCAACATCCCTGAAGAAACCTGTGTGGAAGAACACTGGAAGTCTTTGAAAGCTATGTGGAAAGAAACCTGCACAACAGTATTAGGAAGGAAGAAGAAAGAAGATAAGGAATGGATCTCGACGGATACCTGGAAGCTGATAGAGGAGAGGAGGATGGTGAAGCAGAAGATAAACCAGTGCAAGGACGCTCAACGACAAGAGGAACTGAGCACAATGTATAAAGCACTGAACAAAGAAGTGAAGAAGAGTGCACGGAAAGACAAAAGACACTTCTACGACACACTGGCAAGTGAAGCAGAACAGGCTGCAGGTAAGAGAGACCTGACGACATTGTATCAAATAACCAGGTTGCTATCAGGGAAGAGACCAACACAGATGAAACCAATAAAAGATGAAGAAGGAAATTTATTTAAGAAAGATGAGAAACAAAGGAAACGATGGGCTGACCACTTCAACAAGCTCTTGAATCTACCACCACCTGCACTTCGTCCAGAAATACCACCTACAGCCGCTGAACTACAAGTGAACATTAATCCCCCAACGAAAATGGAAGTCCTGAATGCCATAAAGCTACTGAAATGTGGGAAAGCAGCAGGACCAGATGGGATACCGCCAGAAGCACTGAGAACAGACGCAGAGACAACAGCGGACATGCTCACACCACTATTGCAGAAGGTAAGGAAGGAAGAGAAGGTACCGGACGATTGGAAGAAGGGTTACCTGGTCAAACTGCCGAAGAAGGGAGACCTCAGTGTTTGCAAGAACTGGTGCGGAATCACTCTCCTATCCACTCCAAGTAAAATATTAAGCCGCATCATCCTAGAGAGGCTTAAAGACGCACTGGATTCAAAACTACGACCGGAACAGGCAGGCTGGCTGGATTCAGGAAGTACAAATCATGTGCAGACCAAATCGCAACGCTTCGTATCATCATAGAACAGAGCATAGAATGGCAATCAGCTCTCTACCTCAACTTCATAGACTTTGAGAAGGCCTTTGACAGCGTCGACCAAGAAGTAATTTGGAAACTGCTTCAATACTACGGAGTACCGCAAACCTTTATCCGCCTCATTCAACAACTATATGAAGATGCCACATGCCAAGTAATCCACAATGGGAAGCTCAGTGATGCCTTTGAAGTGAAGACAGGATTGAAACAAGGTTGCCTACTATCCCCCATGATATTCCTGATTGTGGTCGACTGGACTGGATCATGCAGCAGACAACAGTGGGGATCTGTGATAAGAGGGGGATACACTTGCTGGACTGCGGAAAAGAACCTAGAAGACTTGGATTTCGCCTATGACTTATGCCTGATGTCACACAAACATGAAGATCTGCAGGCAAAAACTAACAAGTTGATAGAAGAGGCAGCTAAGACGGGACTTCAGGTGAATATAGAGAAGACAGAAGTGATGAAGATACCGCACCACCACCATCAACAACAACAACAAACTCCAATCACCATCAACGGGAGAAACTTGAAGGAAGTAACCTCCTTCACTTATCTAGGAAGCACTGTTTCAACTACAGGCAGTGGTGGCACAGACGAGGATGTCAGAGCCAGAATGGGAAAAGCAAGACAGGCGTTCATTAGCCTGAAACCAGTGTGGAGATCTCCTGCACTCAGCATTCGGAACAAGATACGGATTTTCAACACCAACATCAGTTAAGTCAGTGCTCTTGTATGGCTCAGAGACTTGGCGCGTCACGAAAGGGATTTCCAATAAACTACAGACATTCATCAACAACTGCTTACACTGGCTAGATACTGGAGATCAGATGGCCAGAAAGAATAAGCAACAAGGAGCTCTGGGAACGAACCAACCAACAACCTATCACCCAACAAATATGCAGAAGGAAGTGGAGATGGATTGGGCATACACTGAGAAGGCCGACTGAGGACATCACGCGTCAGGCCAGTTGCTCGAGTGGAATCCCCATGAGAAGCGACGAGTTGGACGTCCCAGCTGAGGGTGACATGGAGGAGGTCGTGCGAGGAGGAAATGAGAGGGGTCCACAACCAGTCTCAATGGTACAGATACTTCCTCACATTGTTCTTCTCCTAACCATCAGATTACACCTAAAATCATCTATTTTATCTTCTCTTTTTATCTACTAATGAGCTTCTACAGCTTGTGATTACTCTTTCTCTATTATTCTACCTCTTTTGAATCTTGACGTGGTGGAGTAAAGTAAAGCAGATTTTGGTGTTACGTAGGATCACCAGGTTACACATTGACACTGACCGACTGGAGGTATTCTATAAGTAGTTACCATCCAAGACTGACACCACTAGGAAAGCCATCAGAAACCTGGGAGAATTGACCATGTGTTTCGTTCCAGCACGAAACTCCTCAGCCGTGTATTTAATCTACTTGTCCAATCCTCTTCGTATAGTCATTGTCTCTCTAAATTATCATAATTAATCATTCAGTGTGAAACTGTGTATCTTTTATTGTACGGTGTATGTATGTATGTACTCCTATTCATATTTGTCTTGATGGTAAATATCAGACAAAAAGGAAATTGGTGACAGTCATTCAGCAATTTTATAAGTCTTCTCTTCAAAAAATTTGAAACAGTTAATCCCTTTTATGAATTTGGATCGTGTAATTAGAAGACGAAGTTTATCTGAACAATGTAATGTATTTGCACAATACGAAGTTTATAAACGGTTGTAGAGGTCAAGTAGAACACTAAAGCCAACTCTGTACAGGGTCCTTAAGAAAAATGTCCATATCACTCAGCCATACAGAGGGGAGCTGAATAGTATCATTTTGAGACGTAGGCTGACATCAGCCATTAAGAAAACGTATTACGCAGCGAATCTTACCATTGTGGAGAAAATAAAACACATGCTTCACCAAAAACCTAAACAGTGCATCAGTGATTACGTCATATCCCATTGCGTTAACCAATTTACATGTGTGTGTATAGTCAAACATACATAGGGAGGAGTAATCGAGTTATGCAGTTGAGGATGGGAGAACATATGCCTAAATGGCTTCAAAAACAAATGGAGTGTGAAACCATGATGCAGACTGGTGGGAGACGACCCTCTTTATCTATAGCTAAATATATCATAGAAACAGGTCACAAAGTTTTATATAGAAACAGTAAGGACTCAGACTACTGAGATTTGCGGAAGCCATAGCCATACACAAATTTAAACCACCTTAATGTGTACAAAAGCAGTTTGCTATTACACTACACCTACCTTGGTAAACTTTGTTTTCTTACCAAGATTAGGGTCAACTATGTCACTTCCTGTTTGTCCTCATCTTTCTTAATTTTAATCCCCTATTGTGTTAAATGTTGTATTTGTCTCCCCTCCCAGTCCTCGGTTTAATATACATTGACTTGACAAGTAAATGTGTGTGTGGGGCATCAGATTGTTCGAAATGTATTGCGCAAATACATCACATTGTTCAGATAAACTTCGTCTTCTAATTACACTATCGAAATTTTATAAGTACAAATTGAATAGGATGAGGTGGATGTGTATACAATTTCAGTTAGAATAGAGTGGAAATGAGTGATAGTAATGAAGATGATGATAGTAATAATGAATCAAATCAGTCCAGGTTGAGTTGTTGTTAATGCAGAAATAATGGAGTTGAGACCAGTGTTGACGGTAAATGTTTTGAGTCACTCTTTCTGTTTACTAATTAATAATTACCAAGAGGCAGTTAACTGTACTCCATCTCGTCTGTTCAAACTGTCTGGATTCACTCATATATGTAGAGCTTCAGCTGTCAGTTTTTCTTGGTATTATCCAAAACCTTTTTTTGCAGAACCTTAATTCCATCAAAGTCAATTTTGTGTCGCATTTCTATGGAGTGTAGCTCGACTGCAGATTTGTTTTCTACTTTCTTAACCTCTGATGACGTTTTTGGGATCTGCTTTAAGCATAGTTTATACTCATTGACTGTCACATTTACCTGCCTGGCTGTTTCCTTTACATATATTGCAGTACAATCTCCGCATTTATGACCTTTCAACATATACTACTTATATCTTCTCTTATCAGTAGTACTCAATACAATATGATTTAACACTTAGCTACTGATTCATCATCTACTCTTTATGCATTCTATCATAAATCACATATTCTTCGAAGTGATTATTTGTTTAATTTCCACTGGAAGTTGATTAAATACTTCGTTTCCCTTGAAACTATGAAAAATAAAACGGTGATATGGAAAAATTATGCCTGTAGACTGATGTAGTGCACATGGAAAAGTGCTGATTCTGTATAAAAAGTAAAAATTACTAATGAATGGGAAGAACAAGACATGTATCAACAAAGAAATGTTTCTTTTCAACGACTTCATTCATTATCAAACTGTTCAGTCATATTTATAATCGATAAAATGTCAGATAGACGCACTAACACATTGTTCAGTCAATATATACACATGATACAATTGGTGTTAGTGGTAAAATTTATTCATGTTAGAGAAATCGAAAATAGGCGGCTGAATAAGGAGTGAAATGATTTCAAGTGAGGTAAGGGTCAAATGCTGTCAAAGAACTGCGAATGATGATGATGATGATGATATTTAAACTGAAGTATACAGTGATGTGAAGTGAACTCGACAGACTATGCAAAATGGATGTCGCTGTGGCGTTTGAAGCGATGCTTACCAGGTTCCAGCCCTTCTGGAAATGCTATCAACCACTGGGGTTCAAGTGTATCCACCTGATGCGTCCTAGATAGAGCGAAACGAGCGTCCTGGATTATACTGTTATCTACCAAGTAGACTAAAAAAACAACCAAAATGAATTGTTAGAGGCAAGATAGATAAATTGCTTTCACGAAATGCTTTTGAACGTAAAGTTTCAGTTTTTGTTCATGTATAGCTAATTCTTCAGCTGTGTATAAGGGGTGGGAAAGCAGATCTTTGGAGTGGCTCCATTTAACTTTGTAAATTACCTGAAGGGATGGATGTTGAGGAGCTGAATGACCTAATTCCTTTAGGTGTTCACATATGGGTGAAGTTTTTTTGCTTACTTTTGGTAAACCAAACCGGGTAATTAATTTTCAGTAATAACCGGTTTTCGGAGGGCTCACTTACAACGCCTAATACAGTTAGCTCAGTTAGATACACATAGTTGTGGACATAAGCAGCAGCCTATCCTTCAGGTATTGTCGAATCAGACAACGGCATGAGAATATCAACCTCAAGGTAACAGAATAAAAGGTACTATTGGTGCATTTCGATAGACAGGTATTCCACACATCGGCTATGGTATCTCCTTTAACTTCCCAATTCATTAACCAGTTCTTTTCAAACTGTAGTAGATTGATGGATAATTAGTTTCCTCAAGTTTTTATGGATTCTAGAAGACAGCGAGTGAATGTGATTTCTTTTACAAGTAAGAGGTACCCAAATATTAAAGTTAGTGAACTGTTCAGTCTCTGATTGGTTTGCTATAGACTCACCTTTGGAGTGAAGCATCAACTCTTCTCTTGAATATCACGTCTAGGAAGTGAAACGTTGAACTTAACTCTTCTTCTACATTGAAGTTTATAGACAGATGACAGTCATTGAATCGTCTATACCCTTCGTCAAGTGGACATGTTTCGTGGTAAGAAAAGTATCTTCATGTACTTTGTATAAAGGAAATACAGTTCCGAGATTATTTCTTTCAGTGGCCCTTTTAGTGACCCTTATTTAACCACTTGAAATCACTTTATTCCTTATTCAGTAATCTATTTTCTATTTCTTCCACTTGAACAAATCCCACCACCTACATCTATTGTATAGTTTGCATATTGACTGAACAACTTCTTAATGCAATTATCTATCATTTTATCGATTATAAGTATGACTGTAAAGTTTGATAATGAATGAAGTCGTTGAAAAGAAACATTTCTTTGCTGATACATGTCTTGTTCTTCTTACGCATGAATAAACGGGTTTATTTCGATAGACAAAAGTGCTATCTTGCTTAACTAACGGTACACAATCGAATCTACACCTCATAGTTATAAAGTAAACACCGATTTTATCAGCAGAAAAAAAAATGAATGGCTACATGTTTGAAAGACTTGAGATGATAGCCATATAGCCAGCTGACAGTTTAGCGTACAGTCTTTAGAAGAATTACTGCAAATTAGTAGACTTAAACAAAAACTTGATACATTACGGGTACGAGGAATCGAGCAGACTTGAGTGGACATGAAGGGGATACAGAGGGGAATAAGAAAAATGGGGGCGAAGAAATGAACAGATTACTCATCAGGTAGTCTGAAAGACATTCAAAGGCAGTTCCATACTTCAAGTTCACTGTTGAACTACAGGCAAACCGAGAAAGCTACAAGATCTCTAGTGGCTTCGATTCTGAGCCATATCTGATAAATTCTCATGCCGATAGGTCACATGATTTCTCATACCGCAACATGGGAATCTATGTGCACTAACAGATGCTACTTCTTGACATCAGTATTCCTCATTCTATGTTGCAACATGATTAGCTGATTGTCTTTTTGCTTTTCTCAGTGAATGTCATTGCTAGCAAACAGTGGACGTTATGCAATCCGCTTGAATGATATTCGTAATACGTGTCCAAGCCAGTGATTACATCACTTTTTCGGTTCACTACTAAGTTTCATTCTGAGCACAGACTCTTGGCAATCTTCTGAAGGCACTTTGTACTTGAATGATGCAAAGTACATACTAGGCGACACAATTGATAACGCAGTGTCGCTCTCACTAAAATCAACCAGAATAAATCAGAAGGTTGAATTGACCTTGGTGACTAGTAGCTGATTTTAGGGCTCACGTCTCTCCCTGTTTAGGACCTGTTAGCTGGATGTAGGTGCATCCGCACCTTAAGGAGTGATGTTGATAACTTATATCCTCATCATCGATTTGTTACTAATTTTCGATCACTAAATCATCTCTGATCATCTTTTTGCTTTAGGTTTTATACTGGTTAAAAGATAATGGTGTATTCAATGACCAGTCAAACGATGATCACTCAAGTATCCTGTTGATCTCAGAGAATCACCAATCAGTACGCAATGTACTACACGCTGAAGCAGCCTATCGTGGTTTTGATCATGAATTAATGAATCGCTCACCTTGGCTAATGTACATAGAACTGATTGAGCATTGTCGTCATTTTCTTCAACGTTTCAGCGTTTTTAATAATGATATTGTTGGTAATAAAGACAAAAGCGGTACAAGTGGACAACAAGGAAGTAAAGAAGACCAACTTCAAAGCCTTTTTGACATAGCTCATGGTAAGTTTCAATATATTGTGTCAAAAACATATACAATATGTTTTATATGATAAATTTATAGAAAACGTGATATTTTCAATGTCAAGTCATTTACCTGAAGCGAATGAAGAATTTAGGCATGACTGACTTTCAAGCGGGCATCTTCAAGTTGCTGACTAATCTTAGTGGTTGGATTATTTATCAGAAGGTTCTTGATTTAATTCTTATCGATAATTAGGATTTCTTGCAATTATTATTATTATTTGTCCCTTGGGTCTCTATTCTACTCTCTTCTCTGCAATCTTTTCAACCTGGCTCCACCACTGCCCACAAGTTCTCATTTCTTCCTCACACCATCTCCTCCATGTCATCCTCACCTCAGACACCCAACTCGTCGTTTCCCATGCGGCTTCCACTCGACTACCTGGCCTGGCGCGTGATGTCCCCGAATGGTCTTCTCAGTGCATACCCGATCCAATCCATCTCCACTTCCTTCTGCATATTTGTTCGGCGATGGCCTCTTGGTTGGTTTGTTGCCAGCCAGATTTCCTTGTTGCTTATTCTTATTATTCAATTCTGGCCATCTCATCTTCACTGTCAGTATCGAGTGAGCATAGGTAGCAGTTGTTGATGAATGTCTGCAGTTTGTTGGAAGTGCTTTTCGTGACACGCCAAGTCTCTCAACCATCACATGGAAGTACTGTTTTACTTGACTGAATTAGTGTTGAAAATCCAGATCTTGTTGTTTATGCTGAGTGCAGTGCACTGTAGTGTAGTGCAGTAGATCTCCACACTGTTTTCAGGTTAAAGAACTCCTATTTTGTCTTTCCGATCCTGTCTTTGACGTCCTTGTCTGTCCCTGTGTCACCTGTAGTTGAAACAGTGCTGCCTAGATAGGTGAAGGAGGCTATTTCCTTTAGGTTTCTCTCGTTGATAGTGATTGGTGCTTGTTGTTGTTGGTGGTGGTGTTGGTTGGGTATCATTATCACCTCTGTCTTCTCTACGTTCACTTGAATTCCCGTCTTCGCTACCTCTTTGAACTTATATTACCGTCCATATATATGGTAAGCCTGAGGTCGAAATGAAATTAAAGCCAGCTGTCTAGATTTACTTCTAAATGACTTATGGACTTGACACCTAGTTACTAATCAGAACTTTGACACAAGAAAGCAACAGTTGTTTGATTTCTTGGTGTCTTTCGAAGCTATTCTGCTAACGGAGAAACAGCACCTAAGTTTATGATAGGACGTCACTTCATGTAGTGAGTACTAACAAGAAGGTTGCCAGGACAAGAAAGCTAGGTCGTTGTAGGATTAAAAGAAGCTGCCCCCAGGTTATCAACTTTGCAACGGTTTCTGATCGAATTCTATGACCAGTACGGTTTCCTGTCAACTGAAAACCAATCGTTCGGGTATGATAAACTCAAATATAGTCTAAGTGACAGATAGAAGTTAGCAGGTTTTAGACATTATGTTCCTCAGCCCCAACAAACTTATGCAACAGTTTTAAAATGTCTAAATTGAGTCATCTTATTTCTCATCTGGAGGTTTAAATGTCAAAATTTTCCGCATCATACAAAACAATATCATCAGTCATTCCTGAGGAATTGAAGTAAATTTTACTACACATGCATACTTATAACATACTACTTCGCCTGACTTCAATGCGATTGGATATAGAATGAGTGAGAGGTTCTGTGTCCAATTTGATTGGATGACACTTTACGTCATATTTTAAAATACACTTCCACTAACTTATAATCTGTTCTTAGACTCATAATCAACTAATTTTAAATAAAAAACAATATTTTATTGGTCTACACTTTGAAGTGACTTTAAAGGCCACCCTAGCAAACACTAAAATAGCCAATCAGCTTTCGTTTTTCCGCTATCAAAGTGGTTCTTTTTAGAATGAAGGAACGCGATTGGTTATCTCAGGAGTTGCTAAAGTGACCTTTAAACTCACTCATACTTCGCTTACTCATCATCCATTTAATGGGATGTATTCGATACAGGCAAATTAATAATTTGAAACTGATTATCCAATAGTCGACAAGTGTTCTTAGTGAGGTCCTATGAAATACCTACCTCAGTCTTAGCATTTCAGTGTTATTATCTTTGAGTTCATAGATAAGTGATGCAGTTTCGAATATCCTGAGAAACAAGAGTTTCCTCATACATCTCCACATATGCATTTTTAATAGTTGGCATGAAGCATAAAAAGGCAGCCAGATACAGTATTTTAGCATGCAACTCAGATCAATACAGTATCATGCCACTGAGGTTAATGACCTCACTGAAAGGCCGATCAACAAACGGTGATCAATAGGAAAGAACTCCTAAGTTCACAGACGGTTTACCATTCTATAAGCAGTTCGTACATGAATAACCCAATCCTATAAGGTGTCAGGTGTTATTCGAACAATTTAGTGCTAAATTCTTTGGTTTCAGAAGGAAAATGAAAATTGTCGGGATTGCAGATATGCTGTGCAGTAAATATTAGATTTAGTTGAATTTTTTCTGTCAAACACCAACAACACAACGTAGAATGTCGCAATGAACAGCAATCGGTTCAACCTGGCATACTTGACACCAGTATGCAAGGAATGAAGTGAACAGAGAACAAATGACACAACAGTAGACAAAAGTATAGTACAGTTGGCAGAATAAATTGATGAAATGTTGAATGTTGAAGCCTTCGAAGACGACTATGTGTAATCCATTTCTAGACATGCCGTCAGGAGACTACAACCACTGATTCCTACCGTATTGGGGACTACAGTCAGACACTCTACACCACCATATATGGCTTAGAGAAGTAACCAGAGACTTTACAGAGTGACGTCATGTCTTGGCCTCGTGAGACTTAGCCTCCTTTCAAGCCAATCCTACTTTGGCGGAAATCAAGGTGGACGTAGGCTGAGGATGTGCAACTTACTTACTTGCCTACTTACTTACTTACTTGCTTACTTACTTACTTACTTACTTACTTACTTACTTACTTACTTACTTGCTTACTTACTTACTTACTTACTTACTTACTTACTTACTTACTTACTTACTTACTTACTTACTTACTTACTTACTTACTTACTTACTTACTTACTTACTTACTTACTTACTTAGTCAAAAGCTTTCCTTCATCACCTTCATTTTTGGTAGGATGATGCTCAGTGGCACCATTTGACTTGCTGGTGAAGAGGGAGTTAAGCGTAAACTTTTGTGAATGCTCAATTTATACTTTTGTTTTTTCTGATTGATATCAAACAAAATTTCAGGAGTTTGTTTTCAGTTATCGCTTACATGTGTGTTTCACATGATCTCAGCCTCTTAGTTAATTCAGACACTTCTACAGAAGTTATTGTATACACAGTGAAAATGCGTTTAAGCAGGCAAAAAATATTGATGAAACTGTATATTTCTTACTTATTCCACGCATAATTACCATCCTCTGTGAGATATAGGTGGAATTTTTAATCTGCCTCTTGTCACCATATAAAGAGAAATTTAACATTTGTCATAGATGCATGTCGTTAAGAATGTTTATAATTCTTGGCAGTTTACATGAGTTTAACATTTTGTTGCAGCCTCGTTTAACAAGCAGACTATCAAATACACACAGATGTGATAAATCGACTTTTGAGATGTCAGTCGATGTCAATATTCAAAGAATTTTATGTGCGTTCCTGTTTCTTTGTTCTGTTACAATATAGCTGATAGTTACCAGCATTAAATTGCCTTTTTGGAGTAAAGCTGAAATTCAGTGGTATCTAAACTTGCTTGTCTTATAAGTATGATTGAAAATGTCAATCAGTTGATCAATATCAGCCTGTGATCCAGCATTACCATATCATGGTGCCAATTGGCATACTTCATGTTGGCACACTAAGGTACTAAGATGAATCTACATAGGAACATACACACACGGAGATAAGCAAAAGTTTTAGAAAACCATTAGAAGACGAAGATACTATGTGAATATATCCATGTCAGTGATATCGATTATTAAGCTTGCCACATAAAGTATCAAACCTTTGATTTTGTATGTCCCATGGACTCAAACCAAAAAGGAGGAATTCTACAGACAACTTCAATCAACACTGGACAAGACGTCAGTCGGCGATATCAAAATTCTAATGGGCGACATGAATGCCAAACTGGGAGGGGACAACACAGGAAGAGAACTAACCATGGGTCGACAAGAACCGGGTGAGGTGATGAACGAGAATGGAGAATTGTTTGCAGAATTCTGTGCATTCAACGATTCGGTGATTGGAGGCAGTATGTTCAAGCACAAGGATATCCTCAAGGCGACATGGATTTCACCAGACACCAGGACACACTAAAATCAGATTGACTTCATCTCAATCTCAAGAAAATGGAGACGCAGTCTACTTGACACAAGGTGAAGAAGAGGAGCAGATGTAGGTTAACACCACTCACTGTCTAGTGCAAGGAACCTTCCAAATCAAGTTAAAAGCCTTCAAGGAAGTTGGTGATAGACCACAGTTCAAGTACAACACTCGGAAACTGAAGGACAAAACTACAAAGGAAATCTTCAAGTCAGATATCAGAACAAAATGGGAGACACTAAGCAACATCTCTGAAGAAACATGTGTGGAAGAACACTGGAAGTCTTTGAAAGAGATGTGGGAAGAAACCTACACAGCCGTATTAGGAAGGAAGAAGTGTAGGCAAGACAAGGAATGGATATCAATGGATACATGAAAGCTGATAGAGCAGGGGGAAAAAGATGGTGAAGCAGAAGATGAACCCATGTGGTGCAAGGATACACAAAGAAAAAGAGGAACTGAACACAACCTACAAAACACTACACTGGACAAAGAAGAGAAGAAGAGTGCACGCAAAAACAACAGACACTTCTACGACACACTGGCAAGTGAAGCCGAACAGTTTGCTGGTAGCAGAGAACTGACTACATCATATCAAATAACCAGGTTACTATTTGGAAGTGAAGAGATCAACGCAGACCATAACAATAAAAGATGATGAAGGAAATTT